AAAACACTGAACAAATTAGGAAAAAAAAAAAGCAACTTATTTTTTAAAACTTTCATTAAAAAGTCAAATATGTGCCCCAGCATAACATCCTAGGCCAATGAGAATCTTGGAAAAGTTTATATAGTTTTACACTAGTAAGCTAGTTGTGCTTATAGAGCAAAACAGATTTTCATTATGTTTACACAGAGCACAGTAAATATATACACTTTGTCATTTGCTGCAAAGAATGAAATAGATAAGGTACATATTGATAAAGTCACAAATTTTTTAAAGAAAAACTTCTTTACCATGAACACTCAAGGTAATATTAATTATTCAGTTGCAAAGTTGGATGACATGTAATTATTTTAGACAGAGTAAATATTCACCAATTGTTGCTTTCTCTCCCCTCCAGAAAGCGCATTTTGGTAAAAAATAAAAAGATTCTCCTCTATCCTTGCAAGAACAGCTTCTCTTTTGTTGGAAAACAAAGATTTTGCCATAGAAAGATATGATCACCAGAGAGATCACCTAGCAGCCGAAAAATCCCAATTGCTAATTTAGCCAGTAAAGTATCAATAGTTTGTAACAGAAATCTCATATTGTAGCTCATAAAAAACTCCATCAGTAGATACGGCTTTCAAAGATGTTTTAGCACCTTAGGTAGATTCTTCCATCACTATATTTATTTTTGTTTTAAGAAATGCTAAATGCCAACAAGAACAAAAACTCTGGTATTGCAGTGACACTCTAAATGTTATAATGAAATGTCTGAAGGAAAAGTGTAAGCCTTTCTTCATAATTTCTTGTGCGTGCCTCCTCCCTCCAACATTGCTGAGGCTACTGGTGGACTTAAGTTTATCCACCTCACGTATGTTTACATACCTCACTCAAAGGGGCCCAAAATTGTTATTGCTCAGTATTACTGATGTCTCAACATACTGTGCTACTACAGTTTATTACTGGAAGATTCAGGAGAGCTGAAAGAATAATACTAATACAACCGGACCTTTCCACTCAGATTTGATCTGTGATGAGCGCAGATTAAAAGCAAAATAGTGTATTTACACAGTGTAAAGCCAAAAAGAAGAGGTGAACAAACTTACATGGGAATGACTACTCAGCTACATCTGTCTAATAAAATAATTAATATATTAAACCTTCTGCTTTGCACTTAATAGCCTTGTAGACTTTGGACAGAATACACAAACCAAGCTGCTTCTCACTACACTGATGATAACTGGAGGATGAAGAATCACAGAGGAGTAGCAGAACAAAAATATTTTAAATAACCAGCTAGAAATTTGTCCTCAGTGAGACACTCTTTAATTCCAATATAAACTGAAGAACC